CTCAGCTGCCCGCTCAGTCCCCGTCTCCCGAGCAAGAACTCCCAGATCATTTGCTCTTAATGGCTTGATTAAATCACACGTGCCATCGTGCCGCCTCCCCACCCCGCCCACAGCAGGGCAAGAGGCTAAGCGAGGGTGGCAGAAGGCCCTGCAAGGGGTTGCACCAGGGGAGCCCCAGAACGGCCCGGGGCCCACCTGGCCTCTGCCCCCGACCCTGCTGCTTCCTGCAGGGCCCCGCCCTGCTCAGGACCCAAGCTGGTGCCTCAGCAGCCCTCGGGGACTGTGACTCTGCTCTGTGGCTTTGCCCCAGTGGCCTTCTGCAGTGGGCTGAATAGTGTCCCCCAAATTTCTGCCCACTTGGCACATGAGGATGCGACCTGGTTCGGAATAAGGGTCTTTGTAGGATGCCTGAGGTGAAGATGGACATGAGGTCACCCTGGACTGGGTGCCCTAGATCCAGTGACCGAGACCTTACAAGAAACGACACAGACACAGGGAAATCCACGTGAAGGTGGGGATGGAGGTCGAAGGGAGCATCGGCCGGCCCAGCCAGACTGTCCTCTGAGCCTCCGGAGGGAGCAGCCCTGCCTGCCGGTCCCCAAACCAGGAGGGCAAGAGCAGCCGCAGCTCTCTGCCTCCCCTTCTCCATTCCCCCAGGGAGGCTGGCGGGTCTGCCCACAGGCGGGCCAGGAGAGGCACCAGCCCTCAGCGAATCAGGATTCCTGGGCATGGGTTATGCCCAGGGGTCCCCACACCCCAGATTTCTGTGCAGAGAAAGGACAGAAGCTTCTGGGGCAGACACAGCCTTCTCTGGCTCATCTCTCCAAGGGGTGCATGCCAGGCAGCCACGTCTCCTGGGTGTCCATCGTGGTGGGTGCTCTTTGTACAGAGCGAGCTGGCGGCCCACACCTGGGAGGTGCCCTCAGGTGGATTTTTGACCCATGAAACCAGAGCAGAGGTCATTGGTCACGTCTGCCTTAAAGGCCCACGCCTGTGACCACCAGCATGTTTGTCCTCTTGAGGCCTGGCCATGAACTCGGGCTGCCCCCTCTGGGCACCTGGCAGGCCTGGAGAACCTACCTGGGGCTGCTCTGCTCAGGGGCGCTGCGCAGCTGCCGGCAAAGGCCTTTGGCTGGGGTGGGTGTGGGGTGGGAGGGTGAGTAGGAGCTGCTGGTCTTGAGCCACAACAGGGTGTGGCTTTGGGTCCTCAGGAAGAAGGTGCCAGAACAGAAGGGGGCATGTCAGAGGCTGTTGGGGAAACCGACTGCGGAGGATAAAGGGGAGAGACAGGAGGCAGTTGGGAGGCTGTGACGCCCCTGAGAGCAGACACCCCGGGAGGGGGAGCCGCAGACTGGGGGTGTCTCAGGTGATCTCAGCAAGGCCAAAGACAGCCTGCTGGGGGCTGGGCAAGAATGGAGGTCCTGGTGCCCCCCACCAGCACCCCCTGCTCAGGCACTGGCTGAGAGCAGCCCAAGAGGGCGTGGCCTGGGCCCTAACCTGCCAGGTGAGAGCCAGGAGGGAAGGAAGGCTGCCAGGGCCCCCCTGCTTTCTCCCACCCTTCACAGTCCCACACCTTCTCAGCCAAGGTGCCCTCGTCCCTGGGCCTGGGGAGGACATGCCCACCTCTGCTCCTAGGGAAGAGCCAAGAGCTGCACCTGCAGGCCCCGCCTCCCCCGAGGGCCCCCACCTTCCCGCCCCGGGCCTGACACTCTCCCTCCTGCAGCCCCACTGTGCTTGCAGCCTCTTCTCTTCATCCCCCTCATGTCGCGTGTTTTCAGAGTCGAGAAAATGAGAAGTGCTGTCACCTTCCACACGCGAGCTAGCAGGACGGGAACTTTCCACCAAGTGCGTGCCCACGTGCTGGGACCAGGACTCGGGAACTCTCTGTGCAGCCTTGCAAGACCCCTGGGAGCTGGCACTGCTGGCCTGGGCTCTGCCCAGACGTCCGAGGACAAATAAAAGTGCCTAACGGAAGGGCAGTCACCGCCCCACGCTGGCTCCTCCGGGCAGCCCAACTGGCACGTGTCCACTCTGTCCCTGAGCTGGGGAAGGGGGACTGGGCAGCAGGGCAGGTGGGTACCTGCCCCTGGGGCTTGGCTCTCGGCAGGTCAGAACCAAACTCTGCAGACCCTGTTGGCACAGGAGCAGGGGCAGCAGTGCTGGGGAGCCAGAGCAGGAGGACGGTCCAAGAACTGTTCTCTCATCCAGCATGGCGTTGTCTCTGGTGGGCTGGGAAGTCAGGGTGGGGTTGGTGGAGAGTCCACTTTTTTTTTTTTTTGGAGAGATTTTTCACAGTAGGGCGCGTGCGCTCGCCAGACAGACAGAGAGAGACATAGAGACAGAAAGTGAGAAATCACCCCCCGGGGGGGATGGTCACGCCGCAATCCCTTCTCCTCCATTCTCCTCTCGGGATCTTGGGCACGCACGCACACGCGCCCGGCGTGAGTTTTAAGCCACCGGGTCCGGGACACGAACCGCGGTCGACTACGTGGGAATCCAGCGACATAGCCATTACGCTAACTGCTGGTTCCCGAGAGTCCACTTTTAAGGCCACACCACCAGCCCGTGGCAGCCAGTATAGACCAGATGGACTTTAACCCACCCAGAAAATGTGTTAAGTGCTCCCAAGGGGGAGACGGGGTGGACATTGGCGAGGCGCACAGTTGAGCTCTCCTTCAGATGGCCCAGCCCAAGGGACCTGCAGAGATGACCCTGAGGTCTCCAACGCGTCCCTGATAGGTGCTGGAATTGGGAGGCCACACAGCAGGGGGTGGGGGTGCAAACACAGATGCACATAATGTGTGGAGCCAGTCCTCTACTCAGGCCCTCCCAGGCTCCGGGCACAGGTAAAGCCACCCAGCCCAGGGCCAGCAGGTGGCGTGGTGGGTAAGGGGCTAGACTCCCACGTAGCCGACTGCAGTTCGCGTCCCAGGCTTAGTCACTTGCTTCCCCTCTCTCTCTCACACGGGTGCATGTGCCCTATAGCAAAATTTAAAAAATAATTATAAATAAAATTAAAATAAACAGTTCTTTTAAAAAAAAATGACAGCAGGTGGCCTATACCCTGGGAACAAATGTCACGTCCCTGGCATGGTCCCCCAAGCTCAGCCCCTTCACCTCTCCAGAGTGCTGGCTCCTTGGACTGTCCACTAGCACGACCTTGGCCACGGCACCGTTCTCGGTGACCGCCTCCTCCTGGGAGGGCGATGGCAGGCAGCCCTGCCTTCGGCCACTCGGGTACGTTTAGCTCCAATCAGCTCCTCATGGTTCCAGCCATTTATCACCTCAGACATGCCCCGGGCTGCAACACCGCTCGGAGCTTCCCCTGGTGGGCTCGAGCCATCACGCCCGCCCATGTCACTGGTCCCCCCCAACCCTCCCCACCCTCACGTGGCCACTTGTGCTCTGACACCACCTCATCACTGAAGCCAGCACCTTCGGCCCTGGGTCTAACTCCTACCGAGTCTGCACCGCTCCCTGGGTGTGGGAAGGACGTGCCCAGTGGCCCAGTGGTCTGCCCAATACCTGCCTCGCCTCCCGGCCCTCCCCGTGCACGCCAAGCCCCGAGGCTTCCACAGGGCCCCGAGGCGCCCAGGCTCTGCTGTGGGCCATCTGCCCCAGGGCCCCCCAGCTCACACCATTCCACCCCTGGAGGTTTGTCACCACTGTGAGGCGACCTCTGCCCCCGCGGCGTCCCAGGGCGCCTGGCCCGGCTCTCACTGCCTTGTCTTCCGCCTGGGCAGACGGGCCTGCCCACGGCCTCGCTGGAGGCGAGAGCCTCCACACCTCTCCCTCCCGCCCTGGAAATAGCCCGTCCTTGCACCCCACTTGGAGGGACCAGAAGTGTGTGGGGGTGTCCCACATAGGGGATGACGGCACACGCGCATGTGCATCTGCATATATGGTACACGTAATCGACCGGAAGCGTTGTCAGTAACGAATCACCAAGCACGTCTGGTGGAACAGCGCTAGCCTGTCCCCGCTCACGTGCAGCAGGGTCATGGGAGAGAGCCCTGGCATTCGGCCCCGACCCAGTCAGCTCTGTGCTCCTGGACAAGTCATGTGCCCTCGGAGTCCCACTTTCCCTCGGAGACTAGGGTTTCCTGGCAGTCCTTTGCAGTTGGAATTCCCACTTCTCTGCCTTGGTTGTCTGCGTCCTCTGGCCTCGCTCGGGGGAACTCCTGTCTGCTTCTTGAGGGAGACCCAAGAACAGAAAGAAAGAGGGAGGAGGGGCCCTGTGGGGGGGCTCAGTCAGGGGCGGCGCCCCCACCAGACCCTGAGCGGCTGCAGACAGGGGCAGTGCTTGGCGGGCAGCGGTCTCAGGGAGGTCCTGGGAGCCAGGTGCCTTCTCGGGGTCTTGATCTCCCTCAAGGGAAGAGAAGAGAAGGCCCTTGGGCTCCCCCAGCTCTCTCCAGGTCCTGTGTAAGGGGAGGGCTTTCTTGGCTGCTTAGGCCTCCCTGTGGGCCCTCCCACCTCAGGTAGGAATTCTCCCCATCCCGTGCAGACAGACGTTCTAGTCGGGGAGGGGGACTCTCAGAGGCTGGGGGAAATTCATGCAGCGAGCAAAGGCAAGGCGGCCTTCCAGCCAGGACCCGCCTGCCGGCAAGCAGGGGACAGCGTCTGCGGCGTGGGGCCACTGAAACATCCGCTCTGCGCACACCTGATTATAAACCCGGGCTGCTACAGGCGGAAACCGACTAAACCCATTAAACCTATTTTCCCCCGTGGTGGGAGGGAGTATGGATT